AAAATGACTTTTGAAAGTGTTTTAAATATGTCATCAAGTTGCTTTGTTAAGTGAGAAGAGTAGACAAAGAAAATTAGATTAAAATCAGAAGCTCAAACTTTTAAAATCTCAACACAGTATAAATTACCAGCAAAATAGTTTTAAAGGAACAAGAGTTGGTAATCAGGTTTTACTTTTTCTGGACACACAGGAGTTAGGGATTTCTTTGAGGAAAAAATTCTGACTTTCTCCTTATTACAATCTCAGTCCAAAAGAAGATCAAATACAAGAAATGATGTGTCAGATCTCACTTTAGGAGAGAAATGGCATCCGTTTCATCATAATTCCCTTTGCTAAGCGCTCTAGTGGGATTAATGTACTTGTTTTTATGACAAAAGATTCTTACTTGTTTCTTACAGTAGAAGAGAATCCCATATGGTCACTTCTTTCCTACACAGTTTTCTGCATGGATTGACTGACTGTGTTGTTGGTTTTCTTTGGGTTTTTGCATGTTTACTTGGAAATACTAGGCTTCGCTTTTGCATGATTCTGATTGAGGTAGGGAAGGATGTTGCAAATTGATCAGGGGAAACTGGCATGTTATTTCTATGTGAATAATTGTCCTAATGTGAACCATTAATCTCTTCTTATAAACTTAAATAGACGTCTGGTAGTGCTTAATCTATGTGGTTTACATTTGAAGTGCCAAGAATATGCTAGACCCACTGAAATGGAGATGTCAGATGTTCTTAGGGGTAACAGGTTTCCCAGTTTATTTGCAAAATAAAAATGATGTGAAATGACACAAGTGTACAAAATACTAATGTTCAGAGGAGAAATAAATTTTCCTTATGCTAATAAAAAATATTCAGATAAAAAAAACTAATATAGGAACTGCCATACTGGATCTGACCCCAAACTCATGTTCCAACATATGTTTCTGGCAGTTTTTCACTCCTAGATACATTAAAGAAAAGAGGTTACTAATGAAATAAAAATACATCAGGCAAAAACAACAAAAAACCTAACCTGGCCATGGAAGAAAAATCAGAAGCTGGATGTTTTATCTTTGCTTTCTAAAAAGTCTATTCTTAACACCACACATAAGCAGAAGCAGTGCATTTATTTGACTTCAGCAATCAAAGATCTTGTGTTAGTGCCCGATCAAGCCAAAAATAAGACAACTGTTGTTGTCCCATAGGTTTGCTTTTTCTAATATTACTCAAAATGGTAAATCTTATCTGTGGTGCTAATTTTTTGCCCCAGATCATTTAATTTCAAATTCAGCTCAAGCAAATACCTGACAAAAGGAATGAAATCCTGTCAAATACATTCTTGACAACTAACTATTAAAGTATCTTGTATAAATTGATCTGTTTCTCAAAATTATTGTTAGCTATGTACTTTATATGAACCCAGTACTAAGTCTATTACTGTTTAGGTTGTAAGAAACACCTCGCATGTTGGCAAAGCATCTTCTGCATCAAGCAACCCTCTGGTATGTCATGTGCTGTTAATAATGACTGTAGTTTTATGAACTTGCCATGTAATGCCAATGCTAGGGTCATGTCAAGGGTTTGACTCTACGTGGCTAATTTATTTAAAATTCAGCACTTCCATTCATGTGCATGGATTGATTGCTGTGTTACAAGTTAACCAATACCAGGTAGTGAAAGTGACTCCTAATGGCCTGATGGCTTCATATTTCAACAGTTCAACAATTCTTAATCTATGTTTACATGTTCTGTATATCTGTATGTCATGGAGCATATACTTTGTTCTTCTGTCAAGACAGACAAAAGGAGGTAGGACTAAACTACATTTTAAATATAATGGGTGCTAAGAAGCAAGGTTTCTTCTCAGAAACCTGTTTAGTAACTCTGCACTGATTTTTGATTCAGGATGGCTGGATGTCAGGTGTCCCCATTCTGAGGCACTCTAGAATAGTTTGTTTCTAAATTGTGCAGCTCCAGGAGAAATCATCCAGTTCCCATGCAACTTTAACAAGGTGATACCAGTGAACCTGCTGATTCTTCTAAGATGAGAAAGCTTGACAATAAGGTATATTTTGCAGTATAGAACAACATTAGTTGAGGGATATCCACAGGGACTTTCAAAGATCTGGTTCCAAAACTTTTTTCTTAAATTATTTTAAAAAGGAAAAGAAAAAAAAAGAAGAAAAAAACCACCCCCAGAATTCCCCTATTTAAGAAAAAAAAAAAAGTGGCTTAACTGATTTGCTGGAAGTAACTCAAATAATTTCAGAGGATACAGCTTGTACTTAATATGAGTGATATCTGGAATACATCACATTTCCTATGAGAAACATTGACAAGAGTGTGCAGGGAGTTGATGGGGTTAAGTCAAAAACTAAACCCACAGGGCTCTGTTTTGAACTCTTCTTGGATAAAACTATGTTTGACGTCTGTGGGAGTTTTGACAGAGTAAGACGTGTACAATCGGGTTAGTACGTGCTGGATGATTAGGTCTCGGATGTCTCTGGGTATCTGCACTTTGTAGAGTTCAAGGGTAGGTAATTAGTGTTAGTAACCTTTGCTCTTAAGTGAGGATAAGTTGACTTGAAATTCTTTATGGAAAGCTTATCACTGCAGTCCTGGTGAATTTGATCTTAGAAGATGTATTTAGCCATAGATTACTTAAAATCTCATTTCAGGTTCACTGTGTGCTTAAACTCAACTGTAGCTTTTTTTTTTTCCCTGTAGTTTCTTATTCAGTTCACTGCTTTATGGGACAAATGTCAAAATCAGGGATGACACTTTTCCATAATTTTGTTGGTGAAGTCAGAGTTTAGGGGAAAAAACTACTATTTGGATGGAAGAGAGACTATGTCTGTTAACTTTGTAAGTCTTGAAGTAATTCTGTAAACCTTTTGTTTTGTTAGTGTCATTATATTCATTACGATAAGCTGTTTGTATTGAGGCATCTTGATGAAATGATGGATTTGCATAAATTACCTTGTGAATTGTAATTTTCTGAAATTAACCCCCTAGCAACTTGCTCCAAGTCCACCTACCCAACGACATCCAGGGGTACCAATAGTCTCTAAACCAGTCATGCTGCATCCTGACCCAAACTTTATGGTCAGGCCAACAATCAAATCAGAGGCCCTGGTAAGCCTTTTAATGTTCTTTTTCCAAGTGCTACTGTACTGTGGGATTTGTTGTTGACTTGTTCTCACAGAATCAATGTTTGTCTTGTTTTCTGCTAACTAAAATTCATGTAGGTTTTTCAAATGATCACTAATGGTAAGTACAAAAGGGTATCTTTGCATTATTTTTGTGATCTAGATGTCATTCTTAGTGACAATTTTTTACTGCGGTGCATAATTCCAGAGAAGTGTAGAGCCTTTGACTCTGTAGAGCTTATTTTTAATTTATTCACATACTGGTTTATATTTTTGTAAAATCTAAATTCCTTTGTCAGAAATGAAATGGTAAAAAATAATTACACCATCTATTTTTCCTTTGTAAATATATCTACTTGAAATGTAGATATAGAACTCATCATTTAATTTCTAGATCTACTTGAAATGTAGATATAGAACTCATTTAATTTCTAAAGAAAAAAGTGCTTTGTTGTATCTTAGACTCCAGTATACTGGTCATGCAGTGCTACTGCAAAGTTGGCTCTCAATCAGATTCTTTTTCTTATTTCTGTTCCATTTCTGTTTGAAATGTAAATGAAGAAAAAACCCTTAGGCTAAATATTTTAGGATCAGCCATGTAGTATCTCTGGGAATTGTGCTACATGAGGGAAGGTGAGCCAAGGCTTAGTGGAGAAAAAAAAAAGATAAATACTGCTCTGACAGATGATAGCTCCCAAATGGCAGCCTGGAAAATTCATCCAAGGTAGCTGATGGACCAATTAGTAGTATGTGTTATTGAACATCATCATGACTTACGCTGTTGCAGTTGGAGTTGTGTGTCTGTTGTATGCATGTGTGTGGACACGTGTGTGTATGCGTACATTTATATGAGCAAGACAGTGTATTACAACATGTGAGCTTCCTAAGTGATGGAAAATGTATCATGTTTGCGTTTCATTTAATTACAATCTTATGTTATATCTGACACTAAATGATGGGCACAATGTTCCTACTTGTCTTTGAAGTGGGATGGATTTTTTGGTCACTTTCTGCTTTAATAGTTTAGATGCTCTTGTTCCTTTATTTTCCCAATTACAGTTTGCACAAATTCTAATTATACTTAGTAATCAGTTTTCCCACAGACATAGTTGTCTTGAAACTTGTATATTATGAATGGATTGAAACAATAAACGTAAGCAGGTTTTTTTTTAAGTTGCTCAAGAGAAGGCAGGTACATGAACTAAAAATAAATTCAAATCCCTCCAGTGTAGATGTTTCTTTCAGTTGTATCATTGGAGCTTTCATATTGATTGTGTTCAGTAATTCAGTATCTCTAAGCAGTTTGAAATTCTTTAGGGGAGGAATGAACAGAATAACTCCAGTCTTTGTCTTAATATGATATAATGCGCTTAATTCCTTCTACCTTGTTTTTATCTAAATTTAGTTGTCCTGAGTACCAAACTCTATAAACTGATCTTGATGGATTTACTTGATTCAAACAACAAATCAAATGAGCCTGTACTTAAACAATTCACTAGTAAAGATGATAAAAAGCATGAACATAAGAATAAAATAAAAATGCAAGAATGGGTAGAACATTGCTGTTATCTGGAAGGTAGTTGGGCCAGATAGGAGCAGTGAAGTCTCTATTGTGGCTGAAGTCTTCATATTAACTGAATTCAGGTCCTTGTTTTAAAGCAAATTGAGTTTGGAAATGTAAATACCATAGAACTAGAATAGTCTGTAGAAAGTTGTTCTTATTTCAGAAGACTCAAATACATTACCTGATTTGATGCAGCATTTTGAGTGGAGGCTGGAGAGGTGTTAAGTGTGTTTTGTAAACATTTTTTTTAGCTCATTTTGGTTTTGAAAATTTTATAATAAGAGCTTCTATGTTTTAAGTGATTCCAAACTACAGTGTACCATTTTATTAATGCACTGGAAGCAAAAGAAAAACAGAATCAATATGAGATTAAAATTATTGAAGCTCAACACAATAAAATAAAATCCAGCAGTTTGTAATCAATACTGTGAAATTACCTGTAGATATCTAAATTGAAGCAAGACCACTCAGAAATAAGTCAATTACATTCAGGAAGAATTTATCTTTATGTAGAATGAACTTGTACTAGTAATATTGGTATTTAGGTAATTGCTTCTTTCAGGATGAGCCAAAACGTGCATATCTTTTCTTTCAGCTTATCAGCTTCATGAGGACTTTAATAGTGGAATTCACCTTTCAATATCAAATATTCCCTGCTAGGAGAGCAAGTCTAAAATGTGTAACATATATTTATCATGACTTTTCAGTATTTTGGGAATTACTTGTCTAGCATTTCGTCTGTGGTGGTTTTTTTTCAATTATTTTTTCAAAAATCATGGAGAAGAGACAGCAGCACTATTCTGTAGAAATTAGTGATAAAAGGAGGAGCCATGGAAAATATTTTTAAGAAATCTTGTGATATGGAATTGTGCATTATTTATGTAGTTTCTCTAGAATACTTTCCTCTCTGGTAGTCAGTACTATTTCACTGTGTGTGTTCTCGCATTTTGAAATGGTATAGGGAATAAGCCCTAACAAGTGCAAGTGTGATTCAGTCCCCAGAAGAGCAAAAAAAGCAGTGAGATTATTTGTGAGTAGGTGGTACTTATTTACAGCAAAAAGTTAATATCTGGTTTGGCAATTTTCTTTCTTTTGCAGCCACAAGAGATGTTTAAAAGGATGGTGGTTTACAATTCATCATTTAGATCTAACAAAAAACAAGTAAAATAACATTTTTCCATATTTTGTGTGGTACTTCTAGTTTTGACTGATCATAGATATAAAGCTTTTCTTTCTAATCCTGTTGCTCAATTTCTAAAACACTGGATGCAAGACAGCCCTAGTGCATGAAAACTGCTGGTCTTTGTGAACTTTCAGTGTGTGCCTGTAGCTCCTGCTAGTCTGCACAGATGAAGAGTGAGATCATAGTAAATAGTTCAGGTTGAACCCTCTGTGACTACTTACATGGTTAGTGCAATCTTTAAGATTGTTGAACACTGATAACTGATCTGATACTGCCAATTTTTTTTTTATATTCCTAAGGTTTTATTTTTTTCTTTTAGTCTCCAGCTGCATTGCTTTCAGTAATGAAATATTTTCTTAGTTTAATAAATAAAGCTATTATCATAACATAGTTATTGGTAGGAAATCAGAGGAACTGGTGGTGGAAAGCACTTATTCACATAGCCTTTCTGTATTGTGTAGGACTTTTCTGTGTATCACTAGTTTTGCTGGTTTCCTCTGTCATAGGGATGAAGTTTTCATCTCTTCCTCTTTGGTTGTCTGGTGGTTCAATAGATGGTTCCTTGAAGAAGTGAACTTTGTGCTTAACTTCTCTGCTGCTGTTAAATGTGCCTGTTTGAGTGCAAAGAACCTAAGTTAGATGCATTTCCGTGTTTCATGAAGATGTTGGCATACAGTTGTGAGCTCACAATGTGAACTTTTGAATGGTAAATGATTAAGCTTAATTATTTTTTTCTTTATCAGTTTCAATCTAGATCTAGAAGGGAAAACTGGATTTGACTGAGATAAATCAAACTTTGAGATTGTTCAGTTGCCATTGAATGTTAGTATGTTCTGTATATATGTAACAGTTGTGTTCTCAGCAAATATGTTTTTTTGGAAATTTTGTTATAACTGGTCATGGCTTTCTCTTTTAATAATTTTTTTGTTTAGTTCAGTCAGGTCTCAATTGCTATTGACCATGGATGCTACAAACTTCTGTGAGCAGTACCATTGGCTTAGGTGCTTGTGAGGTTTTGTGTTGGTAATTTTTTTTTCTTTTTTTAAGTAGTAACTTTACCTTTCATCTAGAAGTCCAGACAGATGGTTGTTTCGGTGCAGTTAAACATTTTAATGTTCCAGATTCTTCTAATGTTCAGTCCCATGAATGTTATTGTAAGTCAAGAAAGGATTAGAATTGTTTTAACTCTTCTGCCCGACGTGTCCTGAATAGTGGGAGGGTAAGCTTAGCACTCTGGTTTCCACTCGGTGTTCCTTGGTTCATTGGTCCCTCCTTGAATATTTGTAATGCTCATTTCTGGGAAGATTTATTACAGTTGAGTGGATGTCTTTGTTGTATTGTAGTTGTATTTGTACATTAATGGATCCGGATAATATAACTTCTTTACTTGCAGGTTTTTTTATTGTGGGTTTTTTAGTGGGGGGGGTTCCTGTTTAAAAATTATTTTCCCAGGAAAACTTTCTTCAAGGGTAACATCTGTTTTTCATGAGGGCAACCTGGGACAAAGAGAGTTCAATGACTTCCATTAGATTACATAACAAATTAGTGACTTGGCTGAGATTGGGATTCTTTCCTCTAAGTTACTTGCTCCAAGACCAAAGATGTCTACTTCAGCCATGATTCCAAAGGTCTATACAAATTCAGTTGTTCAAACTACTAGTTGTTCAGGTAGATATAATTGCAAAATGCTTCTCTTACTGTATTAGTAAAACTATTCATGATGATCAAATTCCTGGTTATTTAGTTCCTCAAAATTAGCAGTTAACAAATGTAATGCAGCCCATACTAATTTAAATGCTAAACAAGGTCTGTCATGTTCCTATTCCCAGAAGATGCTTTGAATACCTATTTCCCTATGAAAAAAACACCCACTTGTGGCATTAAGTAAAAGTCCTGGAGTTGTACCCTGGAGATTTAGCTCTCTGGGAGCCTGGGGAGACAAAGTCAGGCTTCAACCCTCGCAAATGTTTCTTCTCTCTCAGAAGAAACACAGAACAAGGACATGATTTGCTGAAGTTGGTCTTCTGATCTTGTGGAAAAGGTAAAGAGAGAGGCAGCCTGCAGGAAAGCCAGGGTTCGTGCTGTACAGTTCAGTATGCCCATGTGTAAAGACTGCCAGTCCATGCAAGAGCCGTCAGCCCACTGTTGCATGGTCTGTGTAAGTGTGGTTAGAGAAATGGGCAGCGCGGTTGTACCTTTGAGGGCCTGCTAATGCAGGCATGTGTAGTAGTGCTCACTGACTTAGTCAGAGGCAGTGGTGGTAAGGATGAGATCTGATGCCAGAGGATCATTCATAGTCATGTCAAAATTATACAGGCAACTGAGAGAGATTGTAAAGATGATAACGGGAGGAGGTGCTGAGGTTTTCTGCTGGAGCTTTGTCATTTAACAGCCAGCTCTTAAAGATACCAGAGGAACCTTAAACTGTGCATTTGATTTACAAATGGAAAAAGGCTGAGCTGAGTCTGTGTGTGTAATAGACTTTGTCATCAGATGGATCCAGTAGAAAAGAGAGCAATAATGAATATATCAAGCCTGATTACGCACTGAACTGCTGGCCTGTGTCAGATACTGGCTTGCCTCCTGTATCAGCAAAGGGTTGTGTGGTTCTGCGTTGTTCCCGTATCCTCAGGTTGTTGTAGCTTGAAGCCATAACAGTGATACAGCATTTAGGTGGCTCAGTAAAGATTTATCTGAAGTCCTGAGGTCCTTATTTTAACATGCAGGGTAAGTGCAGGGTTTTTAATCCATCTCCAGCATTGCCCATACGGTCTCACCCAGTAACTCCTAATCCTCCTCAAGAAACCTCCACCCAAACACCATTGATTCCCAAGTGCTGACTCAGAACTCTCATCTTCGTAGAAAAGGTAACTCCTGCTTTTTCCCTGCAGTGTTGGCCTGACAAGGGTAATGTACTAGGTTTTAAAAGTTTAAGAAAGGGTGGGTCTTCTCAAAGCTTAAATCTTGCTCTACCTAACTGCAGTGTTATCTTCCCCATTTCAGACACTCCCTGACAAAACTTTTAAGTCCTCCGCAGAACCGTATGAAAACAAAATTGGTGTTTGTCCTGCATTTGCTTGTGGTATGGAGCCAACTCCCTGAAACTCCATGGAAAGGAAGAGGGTCTTACAACCCAGACACCATGGAGTAGTGTTGCTGACAGGCGAACTGCAGCCTGTCACCTCTGCCTGTGTTAGTGCCAAACAGTGATAATCCCAAGAAAGGTTGCTCAGATGAGTGTGACAGAACATTTCTGCCCGTGATTTTCAAGATTTGTTTCTGTTCTGTCAGGAGGGGAACTGCAGAGCTGACAGAGTTGTAAACCATTCCTGAAAATTGCTTCGTAGTATGGCCAGCTCAAACTGCTGATCTGTCATAAGGTTTGAAATGTCTTCTGACTGTCAGGATGGACTATTTGCTACCTTTCTGTACTTTTCTCCATTCACTGTCTTCTTTCATAGCTTACAGATTTCTGTGTTCTCTCACTAATACATTAAATGGAGTTTGTGTGTTAAGTGTGTGCATGAGCCTGATGTTTTTACAGTTAACTGTTGCTTTATTTTCAGGGCTTCCAGAAATATTTGGAAGATTTTGATCCATATTCAATGGTAAGGAGAGAATTCAAATATGTCTCACTGTTTAATGTGAAATATACTGGAAAAAACACATCCTTGATTTTGAGGGCTGGGAGGGGGTAAGATTCATGCTAGTTGCTTTGCTGGGGCTTGTGTATTTGTCTTTTGTAGTCATATTGAAAAGGAGCTTTCTTGCAGGAAAAGATGATCTGGTGTTCTGATCTTCCTCTAACACTACTTTGGAGGAGAGAAAGGTCCCTTTTCTCCCATAAACTAGATAGATCAGCCTAATTGTTTTGTATTTCTAAGGTGGAAATGATTAATCATTATATCTTTTCATAGTTTACCCCAGAGCAGATTATGGGAAAAGATGTACGGCTATTACGAATTAAAAAGGTAAATATTATTTGATTGATTGATGTTTAAAGGGTTCATGTAAGCATTTCATGTACAGTCCCATTTACTGGGAAGAAGGAAAGATTAGGCTCCTGTTGATGGCAAAAATTAACAGCCTTTTCTGAACTAAAACTGTCTTTAATAGGAAGGATCATTAGACCTTGCAGTCGAGGGAGGAATTGATTCTCCGATTGGAAAGATAGTTGTATCTGCCATCTATGAAGGTGGTGCTGCAGACAAACATGGTGAGTAACAATGGGGAATTTGAATGCTCCTGCAAAGTGGCTCCTTACGTTGACTGCGAGTTGTTGACTGACTTCATAGTTATGCCTGGTGCTGAGAGGCACACTTAGATTGTCCAAGGCAGCCGAGTTCTCTCTCAGTTCCAAGGGTAGCTCAGAGGGAGGCTCATGGTTTGAAGGGAGCTGCTTAAATTAATAATTATGTAAATTTTCTAAATAGCGTTTAAGAAGAAATGGTCACTGCTGCTGTATTTTTATCATAACAGAAATTTCAATAATGTGGCCTGAAAATGTAGAGATGTTCTCTTGTTCTCTTAATATGGGCTCTACTTTTTCCAGTCTGATATTTAAAAAAAATAATAAGCCCCACCAACAACTGATTTTCTGGGGTATTCTATTAATTAAAGCAGAATATGATCTCTGTTATTTTACAATTTCCAATCAATGACATTTGTAGTACTCCCATGTGCAAAGCAATTACTAGGCCATGGCTACACTACACTGCTTAGTTTTGTTCTTAATGCTACTTTGAGTAGTAATTTGTTTTGTAAAACACTTGGTTTTACTCACGAAGTCCCACTAAATGCAAGAGCCTTCTGCCTAACAGCTTAGCTCTCTGGAAGGCACAAGAACATGCATATCAACACATCAAGGCTTTGCTCCTCCTGGAGCAAAGTATCTTTTATCCTTTCCTTGAGAACCCTGGTGATGACCAGGTAGACAGACAGGACAATATCTCCTCATGTTGTCTTTGCTAACCTTGTTCCAACCTGCACCTAAGTTCAAGTCACTCTTGTGAAAACATCTCAGACACTTGATGGCTCAAGTACTCCGTTTCTCTTTGACTCCTCACTGTTGTGAGATAAAGCTAAGGCTGTCCCCTCACCATCTGTGTTTTCCCCTCTTCAAATCCAGTCCCAGTCAGCTGGTTGTGCTTCATTCCAGATTAGCAAGTCAAAACCAGTTCTAAGGACTGAACATGCTCTTGCAAAGGAATGGCAGTCCAGCAACCCTTTGACAAATTCCACTTGTACCTTCAGGTATTTAAGTAATGCTGCCATTTTCGTAGTAGTGAAAGACTACAATCAACCACAGTTTGTCAGCTGTATAGGTGGATTACCCAGAGAAGCAAACTGCTACTATGGAAGATCTCGCTGAACTAGTTTCTTACTGATCATGATCAGTAAGAGATTAGTGTGGCTTTTCCATGCCTAAAAATTCCTTTTGTCTCTAGCAAACTTTCTTGTCTATGCCAATTTTTCATGTAAGCCTTCACATCTAGTGAAGACACTTTTCATTATACTCCGTACTGCATGAATATAGGACAGAAGAGATTTTTTTTTTTTTTTTTTGCTTATGTGTATGTTTACCATATTGGTCTTTTCACCAGGAGGCATAGTGAAAGGGGATGAAATACTAGCTGTAAATGGCAAGATACTAATTGATAGCAGGCTGTCAGAAGCACAGGCAACTCTAGCAAAAGCTTGGAACATGGGTGGGGTAAGTAACCTGGAATATTTTTTCATTCAACCTACAATGCTATACTTTTCTTCCATGACATTGTCACATCAACATAAATAAGGCTGCAAACTTCAAAAGTAGCAGGTATGACATGTACTACCAAAGTGAGCTGAAATCTGCAGAAGATATTGGTATATAGTATCTCTCAAAATCATGCATGTGATTTACTGTGAAAGTTCATGGCATCTAGCCACATGTCAAGATTGATATTTAAACACATTACATTCTGAGTGTTTATAGTACGGTTATCTCTAGAATCTCTCTTTAGTATTGAAAATTATTTGCAAGCTGATTGTAACTTTATGGTAATAGCTTAGCTTATCTTTGATTTCTTAATGTACAAATAACAGTGCACTTCAGCTACAGTGAGT